GTCATTCTCGAGTGCAGGCAACGAACCCAAGAGGTTATTGAACCTCGCCGATGGCAAGTCATCAGGCAGATACAGCCCACAATCGTTTTCCACGTGGTCCTGAGTATCCCCAGGGGATATCACTGGTGTCTGTGGGTCGCTTGGGAGACTTCTTCTATCCATGGACGGTGTCCATACGACAGCGGGAGTTGCCTCAGAGAAACCAGGCACGATAGAAATCCGGTCCTCTGGCAGCACCTGCAAAGGAGGGCTGGAATGCGCAAGTGTGGCAGGGCTCGGGTGATGGATATTCGAGTAATCCAACTCCCCGTGCCTGGTCAAGTTGAAGTCGGCAAAGAACGTGCTAGGACAAGCTTCTCGTGTACGACGTAAGCGCGGACGGAACCCCGGCCGGGAGCTGCTCATAGACATCAGTGGGTTCGTGATGTCGATAGTCTGATGCACTGCACTCGACTTACTGAGACTCTTCGTGCACTCTAACATCACCCTTGTATCGAGACCGATATGGACATTTGGTACATTGATACTCACTACGCAAAGGTCAGATCAACCAGGAGGAATGATTGGGAGAGGAAACACACAACGGGCACTGGTCGCTGAGATGAGATACGAGGTGTACCCGCAATGCTACGGGAGCTCGCGGCTTGCCCCAGGGCTCAAGGGCGCATGGGCCAAGGATGCACTGACGAGTGGCATTCATGAGGTCGATCTGGTCGCACGTTACTCCCTCGCGCAAGAGAGCCCGGGTAATGTCATGTTCAGGACCGAGTGCTTGTCCTACAGGATGGACCCGCTTCCTAGGACTCTGACCAGAAGAAGTCCGTGGCATGATTATGAGAAGACAAGATGTCACCAGGAAAGTAGGAAGAATATACAGAGGAAGGCGGGAGAGAGGGTGTCCCGATGGTGGGGGACCTCGAACGGGTGGTCCAATTTATAGACAGGCTGTCCATTGTTCGTAATGTGGTTCAGCGTGACAGGCTTCTTTGCCGCAGGGTCGCCAGGAAGCCAGGCAATCGAACGGCGGCTGAGCCCAGTAATTACCGTGGATGGATCATGGACAATACCACACAGACAGAAACTTCCGGTTTCCAGCCACGCAAGGTTGACTACCACAGCCGCTCTTGTGCTCGATATGGTCCACAATGCTACCTCGAGGCATGCGAAAGACTTCTCTCCGGTGGCAGTGCCCGCGGTGTCCAGATGTACCAGCCACATTGACCAACTGCCACAACATGCCAAACGCAACCTTGTTCTCGATATGGTTGACGGGGACCGCACTACCCCAGAGCGCGACGCCTACTCTCTGGAGGCTGGCCGACTGGTTCGCATTCAACAGCTTCGTGAACATGCCGCTCAACATGAAATTTCCACGTGCCGAAAATGTGGCTGGACCGGTTGTACATGTAGCAACGCACGCCCTTTCGCATGGAATAGTGGTTGGTGATACGGAGCTCTACCGTAAGTTGATACGTACCAGAATTTGAGGTCGGGCAACGCGACTGACGCATCCGTCAACACGTCTGAGCCACATTTGCGTCGAGCAGACTTCAATCAAATCCTTCGGTGCGGTATTGGATAGTCCCTTTCACAGAAGCCAGAGAGGTAAGTGAACTGCAAGTGAGCACCACCAGGACCAGGAGGTCATGCGACAAGATTGATCTGAGAGTGATGCGCAGGACGAGTCCGTCGTGCGGTATGGACCCATGAGTACACGGCTGCGTTTTTTGATGGAGACAGAGATCATAGCATCTACATTCACCGTGTGAGATGCCTCATCGTTGTCGACACTACCTCGGATGCTACACTCCTCCTGTCCTGCTGGGAGCCTTCATTCGTCACTCAACAGCTCCTCTTGCTTCTTCTGCTGCAACAATTACCGACATCGCAAGGCCTCGAGGGTGATCTTCGAGGAATGCGGCGACAGGGATCGATGATCCCCGAGGCCGTCTGCACGATAGGTGTGTTATCACAGTCGAGCGGACTAGTGCAAACCATTCTATGGGCATCCAGTGGGGCGGAAGTTGCCCCACACACCTCAGCCTACCTGTCTACAAGCGCACGAGTACGCAATATTCCTGCAAGCTTTTACCGCGGGATCATCGGAAAGCGATGTAATCGAGCGTGGCTCAGCCCAGAAATTACCTTGGTTGGAATGCGGACAAAGAAATCCAGGGCAGGGTGAGCTGATGCAGGTTTCGCAAGCAGAGACCTACCAAAGAGGTGGGAATTCCCGACCTCTAGCCACAACGACCTACACGTTCTGCCACCACACCGCGCCCTTGTGCTCGAAGAGGCTCGAGGCATGGAAAATTTTCTCTCCGCTGGAAGTGCACCCGACATCAAGATGTACCGGCAGACATGATCTACTGCCACACGACGGCCTTGTTCCCGGTATGGTCAACCTCGGCCACGCGCCTCACTCACCGCTTGAAGTGACAGATGGTCCTTTCTCTCGTAATTGCTACGCTTGCTTCTGTTGGAAAGACAATATAACACTGGACCGAAGGGCTTCAAGCTTCAAGCTTCAAGCTTTAAGCTTGAACGCAGCTTGGGAGAATGTGGCTCGGGCAGTTGACAGGAGCGTACCACGCGTCAGTGTCGCCGCAAGACCTCTAGCTCTTGAGAATCTGCACTTGCAGTCGACTTGCTTATCACATTGGCTCCGCTTGCTTCTGTGGAAGGAACAGTCCACCACCATACCGAAAGTCTTCAAGACAGCGTGCCGAGAATGTGGCTCGACCGGTTGACGGGTGCGTCATGCGTTCGCTGTCGCGTCCATGGCTTCGCCGGATACCAGACCTTGTACCTATTACGCTCGAGTTCCCTATGAAAACCACTACGCCATCCAGGAGGCCAGACGGAAGCCAATGGCCTGAGCAATGTCTTTAATGCACAACGCAAGGCTTCTATCAAGATGGATGTCATGACCTTACTGAAATATATCTGCCAGGACTCCTGTTCGATACGAGCGCAACAAGCCCACGTCCGACTCCTCCAACACTCGTCGCTGGTTTCACTAGTTCTTCGAGATTCCCACGCTTGTGTGGAGGATACTCATTCCGTATCCTCCCAGTCTCACCGCGTCGACTTGCTACGTCTCCTCATGGATGATTCACGCCACGATGAGTCTTATTTATTCGACAAAAGCTACCCTGACCCGGCTTTCCCTACTCGAGCCAGTTCTCTGTCGATTGGAATCTCGTTCACTGGGCTATGGATGCGCTAGTATATCGTACCGATCATGATGGGGCCTGCTCTATGACATGCACCACTCCCGGTCGGCCCAGTAATCCGGAACGTCCTCAAGACATCGACCCAGAGCTCGACGTTTTAGGTACCTAGCCCGACAACGTGAAAAGCCCCTTCTGGTGGTGAGCGACAGGCCTGTGGGTGCATGCTGCTGGCGGGATAGTTGGGTGCTTGGAAAGCGGATGGTTCTACGAGAAAATAGAAATCCTGGTGAGTCTTCAGGAAGAGTGCAGTAGCTCGTCAGCGGGTCTCGCAAGGCTGAGCTGATGGCTTCGGATACTCGACTATATCATTGTGCGTCTAACTGCTCCGTTCTCGCTTGCTCTCCTCTGCGCAGGACACGCGTCGGATCTGAGATCCAGCCTATATGGCTTGAAGCTTCTACTCTGACTGCGAGGCCCCTGCTCCCCCCTCTATCGAGTGTGCAGAGGCCGCCCGATACAAGCCCGGTGGAGGTGCCGTCGTGGTGTGGTACATCTGCTACATCCGGACCTGGCGCGGTGTCTTGCCCTCTTTATGTCCTGTCTAAGGGCTCGGATTTATCTCGCTTGGACTCGTCATGGCTAGTACTCTTGGATTAACTCTCTTCGCATCCCGTTGGCTTGCACCCCTTCGCTCCATCGCAGACGGCTACCACCGGCTGTCTGTACAATTTGCGGCGACATGAACGGCTCTTCAAATACGACCAATTCCGTCGTATTTGGAGAGCCATCCTGTGTAGCTGACAGTGTCTATTCCCGAGCACCCCAGACGCTACAGCGCGTCTTTACCGCTACCTATGACCTGCTCAACAGTGAGGAACTGCTGCGAGTTATCTCCATTGTTGGGATTCTCTGCCATATCTGTCGTCACTGGCGCTCGGGACCTGGGTTGGCCCCTTCCGCTCTTGATCGTTGATGAGAGCTCTCGACGCCTCTCTGTACTTGTAAGCATCGTTTCGCGTATGCGCCAGGCCAGGGATTGAACGAGGCTGAACTTGGCACAACCCGATCTCGCCGCCGTCGGACTCAGATACCAGGTATCGCAGTCCTCTTTCGCTGACGACTCACTGTTGAGCAGCATAGATGCGGCTCAGAGCGGTAGCGCTGCGACTGGCTTAACGCCCGTACCAATGATCAGTTTGGTGGCGTCTGGGGTTCGACAGAATGAGTCCTCGAGGGAACGTAACTGAGTCCTACAGTCGTGCCGGCCGTCGTCGTCGGATCCGAGTTGCTTCTTGCCATCCCGTCCCGAATCACGCCGGCACCCGTTATTCCCGTTCTGCCAGTCTCTCGTTGATTATATATGTTGTCCATCCTCCGACGCTGTGTCCGTCCCCTCTGGCTCTGTGAGCTCTGCAGGCCTTCCGGACCGATGTCTATTTCTCGCTCCCATCCTGGGCACTTCCTGACGCTAGCTCTGTCAAGATCAAGTGGTCTCCTGGACTGTCTCGGCGTTCCGTGGCTTATCGCACTCTTACCCAAGCGATCCCCGCCTCCCGCTGTCGATATCTCAGTTCTCGCGGCAGCGTTCGGATTGTCCCATCGCGCGTGCTATTCGCGTCTCGTTTTGTCGTGCGTTCGACCGTCGTTCAAGTTCCAGTAGGCACACCGACATAGATGAAACGCGAACTTTCCTTTAATGCCCGTCATCGACTCTCATACCTCATCTTCTCGTAGGGAGGTGTACCTCCAAGGCATCCAGCACCTTCAGCGGGCGCTTCATTCGTTAGACACTCGGGAACCATACCATTCAACAGCACAGACGAAGGTGAGAAACCGAAGTGTTCGCAAAGTACAACGGGATACGCGACGTAGTCCGCGGAACAGATGTCCCTATGACATAAATGCACACTCGTCGACCCTTATGTCAATATAACCTTCCCAGCACTAATCGGCACACTGAAGATGCCCCATGGACGGACACGATACTCGGTGCCGTTGTTCAATGATGGCTGAAGCCAGTACTGGTTCGACGTGAAGTACAGGCGGTTATTGGTGGCGACGGATAAGGTGTCCTAGGCGGGATTATTCATCATCAGTGTTTGGCCGCCGAAGCCCAATGATGAGACTTACCGGCCACTGGATCCTTGGGTCGCGCACGAACGGCATCCACATCCCCAGGTCAGGATGGTACATGGTGATACCGTCCTGCTCGGGTGCACCGATGTAGATGACGCCGGATGCGTCCGTCTCCATGCCGTCTGCGTGGCTGCCGCCCATTTCGCCGAGGTACTGAGTTGCAGCGATAGCGGCGTTGGCTGCATTGGGGTTAGCACCACTCGGCTGGACCAGAAGGTAGGACGTCGGGACGCGGTAGAGGCGACGAGACGACAAGGGGGAGAAGTAGAGGTAGGCACCATCTGCACAACGGGTTATGAAGAATGAATGAAAACGGGTAGACGAAGGAGACATACCAGCGCTGAGCGCGATACCATCGCTACCGGTGGTCAGGTGGGAGTAGGTACCAGGGTTGGGATTGCCTTGGCGGATGGGTTGGAATACCTGACCGTCGTACGTACTGATGAAGCCCTGGTCACCGCGGGTGTAGGGCTGGGAGTCGATGTGTCGCCAGGAGTTCCCCGTGCCGAGGTCAATGACAATGATTCCACTGCGACCCTCGTCACTACCAAAGGTGTCAGGCTGATGGAAAATGTACATATCGAAAGCGGGATTCACCTCGAATCAGTGATGTACGCTACGCCCTGCCCAGATGGAAGGGTAGATGGCCGGAGATCGAACCTCACATCGTTGAGGTATGTGTCGGGGTACGCGGTAGTTATTGGCAGAACATAGTTCGCAAACCTCGTCCCGTTCTGGTAGAACCCAACCAGCTTCGGACCACCCGGCACTGTGGCAAGGACCTGCGCGCCGTTATATAATGGCCTCCCGGTGTCCAGAGCCCAGACGCGATCGAGAGCATCGACGACCACACTCTGTACACTGATCAGATGATCGGGGTCGGCCGACCCAAAAGCAGGGTTCGATGGGTTCAGGAAGCCCCCGGGAGGTTGATTGTACTCGACCGAGGGGAAGGCCGCTTCAGTAGTGTAGCTCGTCACGACGCCGACGGTGTATTGGGTGTTCGTCTGGTTGACAGCGGTCGGGAAGTTGGCGTAGATGGCTCCATTGGAAGCAACGCTCAATCCAGTTGGCCACTTGATAACGTTCAGATCTACAGAACATCAATCCAAAGGATCTACTGACCTGATCGTAGAACAAGTGCTCCACCTGCAGTGGGGGCCCATACGTCCCGTTGTCATAGACCTGGAAAGGATCGGTGAGCCAAGCTAGGCCCCCGGCAGCCAAGGACAGGGCAGTGGCCAGAGCTACGTTCATCATGGCTGAAGGGTTCCGGTCCGCCGTGCGCAATGCCAAAGGGAGGAGCGCCAACGCCGCCTTTATAAGACTGACTCGGACCGCCTCAGAAGCAGGATGCCAAACATGGAACGTTGGATCTTTCTCGCAAGGCCAACATGCACATTGTTACGGAATTATGCTGCGACTCATGAGCGACTTCTGCTCAGTCTTCAACGAAATTCCGTTCCGAACTGCAAGCAGAGGTACTTCGTGTGAGAGTCGTATGTATAACGGCGTCACAAGGGACATCATACCGGCTCACTTGTCAATGCAGGGAACGGGAAAGGACTCCGCGTGCGATGATGGAAGCTGGACTGGTAGGAAGCCTTGAAAAAAGAAGTACACGAGAACGAGAAATTATAGTGATCCCGGGCTATGGTTAGGGATGACGTCACGCCAGAAGGTAAAACGGAGACATTTCGGGCGTAGCAGTCAATTCTCTTGCTGCTCACGAGAGTAATGCCGCGCTGACCAAGTATGGACGGCAGCCCGCGCTCCGACGTTCCCACAGAGACGTATAAAATATGGGAAGTCTGACTCCAGCTTGTCGTTCCCGAGGGACCTTGCGGGATAAATATTCGCGATGGAGTGATACCTGCTGGTCACCAATGACGATCACATCGACGTAAATGTGAGGGGTAAGGTGAGCTTACGAGATCATACTGCGCACTGACGAAGGCGGCGTAGGCACGGAAGCAAGCAGCGAGGTGGGAGAGTCGTAGGATGAAACAGCTGATGAATTCTAGGCCGCCGACGGATGGGGTTCAATGTATCCTCTGTCCGTAGGCTCAAGCGACAAGCAATTCCGGGACACGATTGAGTTTAACTTTGAATTGCGCCTAAGTAGAACTAGAGTCGTGGAAAGGGCAGGATCTGGGCGTAGTCGATGTGTCCGGCGGGTCGGTAAAAAGCGTGGCAGCCAGTTCGTTGGCAGCCCGGATCAATCCAGAGAATGGGCGAGGAGAGGTATAAACGTGGGCGATGGACTGGGAGGAGAGATGGCTTGGTGGAGCTTCCACCTGATGAGTAAGTGACCGTAGCGCAGGAGCAGCACGTCGCGGCAAGGCGGATATCCAAAGAGACTTGAAAGCTGACAGTTGGCTGGGTGTCAGGGGTACAGCCGACGGGAACGGTGACACGTATAGCTAGAAGACAGTCGGTGTGTCGTGAGCAACGTTCCTTGCCATGGAAAATCGTGTGACAGCCAATACACCGCACGGTTACAAGAGACACGATGGGACGAGCGGAGCGATCATTGAGGAGCAGATCCGAGTGAGCCGGACTGGAAGGGTACGGGAGCTGCCCGTCGGTGACAACGAAGACAGGTCGTGAGCAAACCCTGCAGGGCAGCGCATCGCACTTTTGTATTGGAGGGTGATCCCAGGAAACATCGCGGACGATCCACAGACAAGGTAAGAGACGCTACTGGACAGAGGGCCTCCGAATGAGTGGGTTTCACCCGGCAAAAATGCCGCATCTTCACTGGTACAACCCGTGAGGATGTGGGGGGTCGATCGGATCTTGAGGAATAGAACGTCGAGGCAGTAGGATCTACCTGGTCGTACAGTACTGCTAGGGACGAACGACGATGCTGCGGCATTGTCATTTTTCCGCTGCAGCACAGCGGTGGTCGAGTAATGCAGCGGACGCCAGTGACCATTAGACGCGGCGGAGCTCAGAGGGTCGAGATTGATGCCAGGTGTTCCCCGCAGGCAGACCATCGTCAGTGTGCCGGTCAGCAAGATCGGCAACGTATCGCACGGAGAGCGAGTATGTTCGTTGGATGGTCGGGTCGAAATTTGGCTTACCTGCGAAGGCAGGCTCACTTGCCACATCCCCCGCGTTGGTGAGATGTGCGTATTCGCCTGGGACACGACGCAGCGAGCAAAACCCGGTGTGCTCCAGTTGAGAAGCATCCCAGCCGTTGACTGGTGTAATCCACGGGAGGGATGACATAGCCGGGACGACAACATGCGGTATTCACGAACGACTCTGCCGGGCGACCGTGTCGATTTCGTGGAACGGGCCTCTGCCCAGAGTCGCTCTCGCAAAGTGACGGACGGCTGCTACGGACACTGCGCTGGTCCAAGGCGCTCTGCCCGAACGGCATCAGAGTCATGCAATTGAAGTCGCCTGCGAGCGCTAGATGCAGAATGGCGGAAGCCCCGAAACGAGGCGGGCACAGCCATGCGCGATAGTCAGATCTGTCGTGGAAGATGGACTCGCAGATCGCTAAACGCCGTCGACAGCGCGTTCTTGAGGCCGGCGAATCGGACGAAGGGCGAAATGACGCCCGGGGCTCGTAGAGGGTCACACTGTCCTACTCAACGTGTGTGTGTGAGACGCCATAGGGTCGGCAGATGAGGCGCAAGAACGAGGGACTGGGGACCCATGCCTAGCTGAGATACACGGCCAACTCAGATAGAGAGAACGCGGAGGCAGGATAATCATGCATAAAAAGATCAAATTAACACGTACTCCGGAATACATGGACTCCGCCTGCTTTGAGTACTAGCGCACAGCACGGTATCACATTGTACACCCGATCCATCAGAGGCGCGCGGAGTCCTTGTCTACTCGGTGTACCAACTTGTAGGCACGACCAGGCGCGACACTCCAGGAGAGCGCTCGTACGACCGTGTTAATATTCGACGTGAGCAAGGGAACAGTCCTGTCCTCGGCGTACGAGGCCGTAACCGAGAGTGACTCGACGACTGGCCCGATAGAGTCTCGCGAGGCAGGATTTGAGCGGTATGAAATGCGGCTCGCGGACTCGCGACGACGGAGCTGACGAAGGACGCCGGGGGAGAGAATAGCGACAAAGTTGGTCGCAGGGTTGCATACCCGGAGTAAACAGAGTGGTAGCTCTTCGTGGAGGATGAAGTGCTGCCTTGGGTGGACAGACTGAGTACGTCCTGAGGTTACAGCTCGAAGACGGTCAGTACCGCACTGGGTGGAGACAATAACATATCCGGACACAGACACAGTCGTAGGGAGAAGAGTCGGCACTGAGGCTCGTGGGGAATGAATGTCGGAATATGCGGCCAGGATTGAGCGGGAGGCAGTTTCCGGAGCGAGTTGAGAGAGCAGTCCAAGGCAAAGTCTGTGGGTAAGGAACTTGTGTAGAGCCCTGGAGCTGAAAAGCCTTGAATGGCGTGGGGTGAACCACCACTCAAATTCCACTCACCTCACTCGTCCCACTGCATGGCCGAAGGGACCCAGTACACTTGCGGGCAGCTCTCGTCCTGTTCGTCCAGCCAGCAAAGACCGTCCCTGAGTAGCATATTCTCCAACGCCGCCCTGGCCCGCTCGACCGTCCACCCCCTCTTCTCCACAAGCCCGTCCACCTCGACCCTCCCGCCACCGTCCTGCGCGACAGCGATGACGACCATCTGGTCGTCGTCCAGCTCCTTGACCACGCTTCTGACCATCTTCCTTCCCCCGCCGACGTCGACAACCTGGTAGCCCGCGCCGAGCGGCTCGAGCGTCTTGATGCTGCGCGCGACGTCGTCCTCGGTGACCTGCCCGCCGGGCCCGCGCAGCCTGCTCACGAGGCGAATGAGCTCGGCGAGGTCGATGAGGCCGCCGTTGCGCTCGCGCGTGCTGACGCAGACGTCGACGATCTGCACGCCGAGCTCGTGCTGCCAGTCGCCGATGCCGGTGAGCTCGGCCCACCAGCCGCCGCGGCGCGGGCCCGCGAGCGGGTCGACGCCGATGGAGGAGCACATTTGCTGGAAGGCGTGCCGGAAGGAGGGGTCCTTGGCGATCTTGTCGCGGTGGGTGGAGGCGAACTGGGCGAGCGCTTTGCGGAAGTGGGCGAGCTGGGCCTGGAGGTTGGATATTTGTGTTTGGGAGATTTCAGAGGAGAGTTCGGCGAAGGAGCGTTGAGCCTGTTTGTGCCGTTCCAAGGCGGATATGCCGCCGCCGAATCGATGCATGGCGCGCAGGACTTGGGAGAGGGACGAGGAGAGCTGCTGAAAATATTCTCACGGTAACCCTTGGACTCGAAAATGAAACTCAGCCGTGCTTGGACTCGCGATACCGAGTCGACCCGGATGCCAGCCTTCGAATGCTCAACAGAGTCCACGCAAAATACTGCTCCTCGTCCCGGCCCCTCCACTCCTGCGCCCCCCGCCTTTCCCTGCAGCAGAAGCAGGTGCCGAGCAATGCAGCTTCACCGAGATATGCCCGCTCAAAACCGAGAGAGGAGGCTAATAGATGGGAGCAAAAGGTTGTGCAGAAAAAGTCCCTACCCATTGAGAACACGCTGGTCAAGCACGGTGCGCAGCCTCTCTTTCTGTCTATCTACCGAGTCCAATGACGCCCGATGTCGCAGCCCCCCGCAACGAGCTCGGCGTGCAGATGCTCTCGCGCGAGCTGCACTCCCAGATCTTCAAAAACGCATCCTTCCCCGCGCCCGACCCCGCCTACGTCCGCATCGCGCGCGAGCACCTCGAGACGCACGGCCTCGACCCCGCCCAGGGCTCCGTCCTCCCCGGCACCGCCTTCCCCCTCCCCCCGCTCCTCGGCGCGAACCTCGACCAGCACTTCCACGCCGTCGGCCGCCGCGCCGGCCAGCCCTACCTCGCCCTCGCCCGCGCGCTCGCCGCCGCGCACCTCCCGCCCCCGCCCGACGCGTGGGATCTGCAGCCCGGCTGGACCAAGTATTGCCATCGCCCCGACGGCTCGTCGTACTGCGAGCCCGTGCCCGCGCCCGCGCACGAGGGGCGCCCCGAGGAGATGCTCGTGTTCGACGTGGAGACGATGCCGCGCTACGGTCCCCACCCCGTGCTCGCGTGCGCGGCGAGCACGAACGCGTGGTACGCGTGGATCTCCCCGTGGCTCCTCGGGCGGTCCAGCGACCCCGCGCACCTCATCCCGCTCGGCGACCCCGCCGTGCCGAGGGTGGTGGTCGGCCACAACGTCGCCTACGACCGCGCGCGCGTGCGCGAGGAGTACGCGCTGGGGGGCACGGGGAACCGGTGGCTCGACACGATGGCGCTGCACGTCGCCGTGACGGGCATCTCGAGCCACCAGCGCCCCGCGTGGATGAAGTACCGCAAGTCGCAGGCGGAGGCGCGCCGCCTGCGCGACGAGGCGTACGAGGCCGTCGTCGATCTCGTGAAGCACGGCAACGGCGGCCTCGAGCATCTGCTCATGGACGAGGAGGGCGAGGGCGACGCGGAGCTCGAGATGAGCGGGAAGCGCTGGGAGGACCTCACCTCGGCGAACGCGCTCGCGGACGTGGCAAAGCTCCATTGCGGGATCGAGATGGACAAGGAGGTCCGCAACGACTTTATGACGCGCACGCCGGAGGAGATATTGGAGAACGTCCACGACTACCTCACGTATTGCGCCAACGACGTCGCTGTCACGCACGCGGTCTTCTCAAAGGTCCTACCCGAGTTCCTCGCGCGCTGTCCCCACCCCGTCTCGTTCGCGGGCATCCTGACCATGGGCTCCAGCTTCCTCACCGTCAACGAGTCCTGGGAAGAGTACATCGAGAACGCGGAGCGCAAGTACAAGGAGCTCGAGGACAAGGTCAAGAGCCGGCTCGTGCAGCTCGCGCAGCAGGCCAAGACGCTCGCGGACGGCGAGCGGTGGAAAGATGACGTCTGGCTGAGCCAGCTGGACTGGACGCCAAAGATCGCAGGCAAGTCGAGGGGCGTGTTCCCGCCTGAAGTGAGTGTCCGTGTTCCAGTCTCTTCCATCTCGCTGACGATTCGTAGATTTCGTCCGACTCTGTGCCGGATGTCGGCGGCGAGGATAGTGCGCAGCCGCGTGCTCCTGGGCACGACGTGTCTACGAAAGTCCCCGCTTGGTACCGCCAGATCCTGAAGGAGGGGCCCCTGTCCTCGTCCGTGATCAACAGTATCCTCCCCCTCCTCCTGAACGTCTCCCATGACGGCCACCCACTACGCCGGGACAAGACTATCGGATGGCACTATGTGGTCCACGGTCAGCAGGTCCGCCTGCCTACTGGACTTTCAACCAAGGTCCTTACGCCGCTCAACAAGGAGCACGGCGCGCGCTCGTTTGGCATTCCTGGCAAGTTGAGCTCTGTCGACGATCGGCTGGCACTGGCTATTTCGCAAGGTGAGAGGACGGAGGAAGTGGAAGCGCACGTTCTGCGTCTCGCGGAGCGCATCCTTCGCGACGTCGACTCGTCTGCCGTGTCTGAGCATCCTTGGCTGTCCCAGCTCGACTGGAAGGCCGTGGAGTTCAAGCAGGGTCAGGCGTCTGGGCAGCCGAAGCCTCTCAAGAGAGTCAAGAAGGCCCCCGCGCCAAAGCCTCCTCCCGTCTTTTGGCCTCAGTGGTACTGGGAGTTGACCAGGCCAAAGAAAGATTTACCGCCGGGCACGATCGATCTTTCGGTGCGGACTCGCATCGCGCCGCTGTTACTACGGCTTTCCTGGCTCGGCTGGCCGCTCTTTCACTCCAGGGAGCATGGCTGGACGTTCCGCGTGCCCCGCTCCGCCGACTTTCCGACGCGGGCGTCTGAGCTCGATTTTTACCACCCAGATGACGAGACTCTCAAGGAGATGAGCGAGGGCGGCGGGTTTGTCTTTTATAAGCTGCCGCACAAGGACGGCGAAAAGGCGAACGTCGGCAGCCCGCTCGGGAAGACGTTTATGAAGTATGCGCAGGACGGCACGCTCAAGAGTCCCGGCGACGAGGCCAAGGACGCGCTGGACATGAACGCGCAGTGTAGCTACTGGATCAGCGCGCGGGATCGGGTCATGAACCAGATGGTCGTCTGGCAAGACCAGGAGCTGCAAATGGGTATTCAGGACGATCGCGCGCCCGCTGCTGGAGAGGAGAGACCGAAGAAGTGGGGCATGATCTTGCCGCAGGTGGTCACTATGGGCACTGTCACTCGCCGGGCTATGGAAAAGACCTGGCTTACTGCGAGCAATGCGAAGAAGAACCGCGTGGGCTCGGAGCTCAAGGCCATGGTCCGCGCGCCCGAGGGCTATTCCATCGTCGGGGCCGACGTCGATTCGGAGGAGCTTTGGATCTCGAGCGTCATGGGAGACGCGCAGTTCGGCCTTCACGGGGCCACCGCTATTGGCTGGATGACGCTCGAGGGTACGAAAGCCGCCGGGACGGATCTGCATTCCAAGACCGCGAGCATCTTGGGGATCTCACGCGATCAGGCGAAAGTGTTCAATTATTCGCGGATCTACGGGGCTGGCATGCGGCACGCGGTGCTCCTTCTTATGCAGGCGAATGCGGGAATGCTGCCGGAGCAGGCACAAGCCCTCGCGGAGCAGCTCTACGCCCAGACCAAAGGGAAGAATACTCATCGGCAAGATCTCTTTGGTCGAAAGTTCTGGTACGGCGGCACCGAGAGTTTCGTGTTCAACAAGCTCGAAGAGATCGCGCTGTCCGACTCACCCCGAACCCCCGCGCTAGGCTGCGGTATCACGCACGCTCTCTCAAAAGAGTATCTTCCTCCTGGCTTCGGCACCGACTACATGACGTCGAGAATCAATTGGGTCGTCCAGTCATCTGGCGTGGACTACCTCCACCTTCTCATTGTCTCGATGGCCCATCTGATCGACAAGTACAAGATAAACGCTCGTTATCTGATCTCGGTCCACGACGAGCTACGTTATCTAGTCGCCGATGAAGACAAGTACCGGGCAGCTCTCGCGTTGCAGATTGCGAATCTCTGGACTCGGTGTCTGTTCGCGTATCGGCTTGGAATGGGCGATCTCCCTCAAGGCGTCGGGTTCTTTTCTTCTGTCGACGTCGATAAAGTCTTGCGCAAGGAGGTAGACATGCCTTGCGTTACGCCCTCTCAACCGCACCCCATCCCCCCTGGGGAGAGCTTGAACATCCAGGCCTTGATCGAGAAGATGGACGGCGCGTCTCTTTGGAAAGATGGCCGTCCCATGACTGTCGACAGCGATGCCCCGCCGGCAGACTTGTTGGATGGGTACCAAGAGCCCGACTGCTTGGTCCACAGAGCCTCGAGCGCTGCCTGGCTGCGCGCCCAAGCTACGACCGAACTCTCGGAGATTAAGCTCCTCTCACGCGCGCACAAGCAACTATCAACCGGCGGGCAGCCCGCTGCAAAAGGCAACACCCGACGTCGAAAGAAGAAGGCCGTCGCCGACGACGCTAATGTGGATTGGTCGAATGTCGTGGAGGAAGCCATTGGCGCACAGACACCGAGTTAAGAAGAGCCTGGATGGCTGGCTGATGTTGCGATAACTTATCATCTTTGTAGGTCCACTATTAATGTTACCTTACTTGTATATTATAATCGTACTTGTATTCACTATCGATGGTCTAGTTTCCCAGAAGGCCGTCATATCTCCCCACGAATGCTTCTCATCATGACACGAGGCAGCGTCCCGAGCCCGCCCCGAGCGACGATACCAAGTATAGGACACCGACTTAGCGCTCGAGAAGGCGCGTCCGGTTCTATCATTTCCAAATCAGGCAAGACCCGACGTCGGCGGCGGTTCGCGCTGATGGAAGCAGATTAGCGCCTGTCGGACAGTGCGTCGGGAACCGCGCCCCCGTCGCCTTGTTCACAGCGCCCTTGCCATCTTTGGGCAAACCGACAGGGACCATTCGCACGACACGCCGGGAGCCGCATGGTGTGACTCGGCGGTGCGCTTCGGAGGCGCTGGAGAAGGCGGTTGGCGGTCGCGCCCCGACGGCGATGTAGCCGTATAAAACCGGCGCCGACGCGTTCGACAATGACCCATCCCGACCCGTCCCCGACCCGCCTCGTCTACAGATCCCGTCCCCCCTTCGCTCCCGCACGACTACCCCAGTTGACTCAGGCTGTACACCATGTATCCTTCAAGCTCCGCCGGTTCTTCTACTGTATATAGCTACACCTCCGCCAAAAGCCACACCTCTTCGCAGCAGCCGTCGCCTACCTGGTCTGTCGGCTCCTTTGACTCGTCTTCATCGCCTGCTACCAGCACTACCGCCGTCTCACGCGGTTCCGCTCCCGGTGCTCCTTACCTTGGTCCGGTTCCCTTGCCCCCTACGTCGTCTCGTAAGTGAAGGCTATTCTGTCTTGTTGTATCGTGTCTCTGACATCTCATCCTTACTCAGAAGCGGGCTTAATCACGCCTCCGGATAGCCCGAATAGAAGTCGTGGACCCACAGCTATCGCCATTCATCCCATCCTATGCTACCATCAATCACCTCTGCTCATGTATAATGTTCTGTACTCTGTGTCTCACGTCCAGCTTCGACCCCCTTACAATGCCAACACCCTTCGGGAGCCTGCGACCCATCCCCTGCTCACCCGAGTCCACGTCGACATTCCGCAATTCCCGAACTGGTCTTTTGTCGTCGAGAACCCGCACGGCGTCACGGTTATCGACGTGCTCCAAAAAATTGAACAGGCGCTGTACGCCGCCGTCGGCCGATCCGAGTGGGAGAAGCAGGCGAAGGGTGCGCGCGACGTCGCTGCTGCTTCGTTCAACGCTCGGACCGGCGGCAACGAGGGCGCACGTCAGGCGGGGATAAAGAGAGTCGATTTCCTCGGCTCTCATGTTCTCTTTGCCGGACTTACGCACTCGACCCGGGTCGCTGGCCACTGGGACCTCCACTTCACCTCTCTGCCTCACTAAGCATCTCAGCCTTGCTGTTTCATATCGACTTTCCCTCCCGTGCTGCTTCTGCGTGCTGGCGGATGCTCTTCTTTTTTTTTATGCTCTCGCTCACGAACGTTTGCGGCCTCGATGGACGCTGTTGTATTGCATTTCAAACCCCACTCCTGTATCCCGTACGCGTACTCTACTGATACCCGCGGGCTGTGGTCCTTGATCTCGCTCTAGTATACGATATCCCCCCGCTCTGTACTGATTGCTCTGTTGGTTTATTGCTGTGTAGTCCTGTCGTCTGATACTTCCTTGTTTATCCTGTTTCCGTGTATGATAGAATAGAAGCGGTCTTATTCAGTGTAGCTTGTCGTGTACTAACATAAAACATATCTCAATGCTTTGCAGACTCAGGCTGCTGACAGCCACAAGCCACATCCGCATTCGGTGATCGTGAAATCGTGGCTGTGCAACTCGCGTGTTCGACGACGTCGGTCTGAGAGCAGCCCAAATCCGTCCGTCTGACGATCCAAGTCTGTCTGCTCTCGCTGCGTCAGTGCGGCTACAATGTTGTATCGCCCTTGGCGCGGTGTCTTATATGACACCGAGTGCTGTTCCATACGGTTCGAATTCACCGTGTATGACAGTTATACAAGGCCCAGATGGATCGCGGTGGCGGCTCTGAGAAGCCAGATACCTGTACCGAGCTGATTTTAGGTCATCTGGGTGGAGCACAGTTATCCAGACGCTCATGTGGCGCGCAGTACTCGACGAACGTGCGTGCCGGATGGGACCTTCGCAAAAGATAGCTTCAGAACTTCGAGCTACGTCTCTCGGTGTACGCAACTTCAAGTGATGTCTGCCCCGCAGGAACCTGCACATACGGTGTCTGACTCGACCCTGCCACCAGCCACAAATCAGAACAGTCGGAGGTCAGGACTGTCAGCGTACGAACGGTCTGGCGAAGGCCGTCCACCATGGATCTTGACTCGTATTGAGCTCAAGCTTCTCGGTATTGCGGGTGTATTCCTGCCGTGCGCGGATCTACACGTCGTTAACATGAATCGCTTCCCTCGTGCAGGTTGGGTTTTTTTTAGACGGTAAGAAACCATCTGGAGTGTAGTTCTAGCCGATACTGACCACTCGCATCGCAGCCTACGATCTGTTCATTATCAACGTACGGTTCCTCTTCTCAGCTGTGCCACCGCGAGCCTAACCTTTTCCATTAGCCCATTGCAACCATGCTGCAATACCACCTATACGGCAGCCATGCTCTTCCCGCAGGATTGCAAGGCTTCGTCAAGGCCGGCGCAAATGTTGGGAGCGTGATCGGGCAGTTCACGTTCGGGTTCGCCGCCGATTATTATGGACGAAAAGCAGTTTGTACGTGCACTTCGCATCACACTAATCCATCTTCGCTGACCGGCCATCCATCCCCAGACGGGAAAGAGCTGATGGTCATTATTTTTGCGACTATCTTCTGTATATCCGACCCGACTGGTGACCTCTCCCCGTCTGGCGCCCTCATCTGGCTCGGTGTGTGGCGGATCGTGCTCGGAATCGGCGTGGGGGGCGATTACCCCATGTCCGCCTCTGTCTCGACTGACCGAGCGCGTTTGCGAAAGCGCGGAACGATGCTAGCTTACATCTTCTCTGCTCAGGTATGTTACTTCTCCTATGAAGTCACAATGGCCGCTGAGTAACTGCGTTAGGGATGGGGGAGTCTCGTTGGCAGTCTGGCCACGATCATAATCCTTGCGTGTTACAAGGACGTCATGGACACGAAAGGAGAAGTCTCAAAAGTCGACGGAGGTGAGCTCTCCATTCGTCGCTCGCGATCACTTGCTTCTGATCATGTTTCGTTTATTATTCTCTTTGCGCGCGGAATCTAGTCTGGCGTATCATCATCGGTCTTTCGTTGATCCCGGCGTTCGGCACCCTCTACCAGCGACTCACCCTCCCCGAAGCCAAGTGTTTCGAAGCCGCAAAAAGTGACACCGTCGATACATAGAGGTCTAATTCTAATAGGTTAGGCTTAGCATAGGCTTAGTACTGGGTATTTTGTAGTGTGTGACTAGTAAATGGGTTGTAGTGAGAGACTACAAAGGACGTTAGGGTAAGAATTACGTAATCAAAATGGACATAAACATGTGTATTGAGAGCAAAAAGCAGGGGCGAACCGTCCCGAGACGGTTGGGTAGGCGAAGTGGGCAGAGTGAGGCGGGCAAACGTCCTGAGACGATCGAGTCTGGTACATGTAAGAAAGAGCATATGAACCGTCCGCGGACGATTCGGAGTGCCTGCGGCTATATTGTTTCAAGTGAGGCAAGCCAAAAGTCAACAGAGAGACTCATGTATTCATTTCCAACGTATATAACACAAATAACAGAGTAGACGACAAGGAGAGAACTAGACGTAATGGTACATAGTATGCGAAGGGAGCACCGCGGTCACTCATTGACCTCCTCGATCGCCCTGCGTCCTAGCATCTCGGAGACGGACTCCTCGTCGCTCTCGCTATCGGGGACCTCCCAGGACGGGAGGTGGCTATCGACGGAGGTGAGACGGAGAGCGTCTTGGCGAAGACGGAGACGGTCGGGGCCGAGCTCGTGGGCGCTGACGAGATTGAACTCGAAGATGAATGGGAGATCTGTTGGAGGGGAAAGGGAGGAGATGTTAGTGCATGGAGAAGAGGAAAGGAATGTCAGGAAAAGAACATACCGCTTCCCCAAATCTGCAGATAGGACACGCCAGGAGTAATGGTTGTTTCCTGGATGATCGTCATTGCAAACCACGGAACCAAGAGCTAGGCGAAGGAGACGAACTGGAATGAGCTGGACGATAAGCTGGTGCCAGGTACTACCAGGCATGCAGCAAATTGCGAGATCATGGGACCGCTGGCCAAGGGAGGGGGATCGGAAAAGCAATTCAAATGGATACTGAAGAAGGGGATTGCGTACACGAATGAATCCAACAGTGATCATCACTGTCTCCCCAATGAACCGGCCAATATTGTTGGAGTTGAGGTAGCCAGCGACAGCAGGCACATCAGGGAGGGGGAGTGGCTGAGGCATAGTGTAACAGGGAACTGAAACGGGGGTGGAGGGATGGATGAAAGACCCCAGTCGAAACCGTCCCAAGGTATTTATCAGCGGGTTAGGGTTATGAGGACGAAACATCTGCTCCAGGGTTGCTCTAGGGTTGAAAGGTAGGGACATCCCCAGGGACAGACCATCCCTAGGGAGCTGTCCCTACGGCTGAGGGATGCCACCCTCATGTCATAGGAACAGTTCTCTAAGAGGCCCATGGGAGATAGAGCTTGTGGACTGCAGAGGCACTGCAGCTCCCAGCAGCAGCTCGCGGACTGAGTCTGCGAGCACTGCAGGTAGCTGCCCTGTCAGCCTCGCGGACTGAGTCTGCGAGCACTGCAGGTAGCTGCCCTGTCAGCCTCGCGGACTGAGTCTGCGAGCACTGCAGGTAGCTGCCCTGCCAGCCTCGCAGACTGAGTCTGGGAGAGCTGCACCTCGCGGACTGAGTCTGCGAGCACTGCAGGTAGCTGTCCTGAGCCT